GAAATGAATTTCATTCAATTGTGGAAACACATTTTAGATACTGATGAAGATTTTCCTTTTAATAATCCAAATATATTGTTAATTGTTAGAATAGCACTTCTTATACCTCTTTCTAATGCTCATGTAGAAAGAATATTTTCTCAAACAAGGTTAATTAAAAACAAATTAAGAAACAAAATGCATTTAGACACATTATATGATCATTTAATGATTTTATTAAATGGACCAGAAATTGAAAATTTTGATTTTTTAAAAGCATTAGAACATTGGGAGAGTAAAAAACCAAGAATAAACATTAGGTTTTAAATTTTTTTTGTAAAACAATATTCATTAATATTAAAATAAATAATTAAAATTTTCTAAAAAACAATATGTGCACACAGCTTGTATAACGTTACACCCTCCCGCTGAATTTTCAACACTGGGGATGGGCGGTTTTAAAAAAACCGGTTTTTTTGGTTAGGTTCGGTTCGGTTTTTGAACCGGTTCGAATCGGTTTTTTTGTGAAACTAAAATCTCTACGTTTATTGGCCAGGTTATTATATCACGTGAAAATGTAATATGAAATATTATTAATTATTATGTCGAAGATGTAAAAAGGATAGCTATCATTCCATATAAAAAAAAAAACTCTTTCTTAAAAATCTTTTCCCACTGGGGCACAGCCAAAAAAATTTTTTGAAAGAGTCAATTTTTTTCTAGAGAACATTAAAACAATATACATAGTATAAGTATTAAAAAAGACAAACTTTCAACTTCAAGAATAGTTGTGGGGAGGGGAGTGGAGGTGTTGAAGAAGTCAGTTTTTTGTAAAAAAAACGAAACAAAAACTTTTATTTCTCTAATAAAAGGTTCAACAACAAAAATAATATTTATTGTTATCAATAAAAAGATAACAAGTAACAACACAAATTTCAAGAAACAATGGTGGGTTTTTCAATGTTTCTTGACAAGATGTCTTGCATGGTCAATGAAATGGGGTGCTTCAGCTTAATTCTCTTTTTTTTTTGAAGAAAAGAGGCCATGTGGAGATTGTGTATGATGCCAAGTCGCTTCAAATGGATACTTTTAGTATTACGGGGGGGGGGAGTTGTGCATTTAATATTGTTTTATTTTTATTATTATGTAATTTTCTTTTTTTTTAATTTCATATGTAAAATTCAAACCAATAAAATGTCACGGCAAGACTACATCGTTAAACCACAAAAAAAAAGTAAAAAGGATAGCTATCCTTTTTATATTAGTTGGAAAATGATAAACAAGATGAGTAGGTGCCATGATTATTTTTGCAACTTGCCTTTTTTCCAAATTCAATTCACCTTTTCAAATTGATTATCATTTTAATGCACAGTACAAAACAAAAGATGAGCAGCAATATTACTATTATACAATTTAAAATGAAATGACTTATTTTTTCAAATTGAGAATGTGGAAGCAACATAATCAAAAATAACTACTTATATTACTATGCTGCATTCAATTCAACTCTTCTCCAAACAACTTATTTTGTTGATTTTTTTTCCATTTTAAGCAGCATATCATTACTATTATTATTATATATATAACCTAAGATGATTATTTTTGAATGAAAATGAATTGTTTTTTTCAAGTTCATTTAAGAAACCTAATTAAAATATCCTATTATGATAAATAATTCGAATGATCTTCATGTATAATCTATAAAAAGTTGTGTAATAAAATGGTTACACCAAACTGGTTGAACTGGTTCAGTTCAGTTTTTTTGCAATAAACTGGTTTTGCTGAACCGAAACTGAACTGAACCGAACCGCCCCATCCCTAGTGGTGCAGGGCATCTAAAGACATCAAAAAAATCGTACAACTTCAAACCACTAAGGCTTTTTTTTTTAATTAATAAAATTAATAAAAAAAAGCCTTAGTAAGTTATACATGCAGCCCAAATTGGTTTGGTGATTTCAATGGTCAAAATTATACATGAAGTCGAAACTATTTCGATCATTTGCAGATCTGGTCAAAATAGGGTCAAAATAAGGTCGAAACTGATTTTTATTATGTAGTTGCCTCAAGTCAAAACATTTCGACACTGGGTTTTTAATTTCGACTTCATATATAGTCAAAATTATTTCAATTTTGATGGTATGGTGCATGTCATCCATAAACGTCAATTGTCTGAAAAACACTGAGAACTAATCACAAAGTAAATTTTTTACAGGGCTAATCACTGTTCAAAGTTTCCTCTTCTGAATTTCATTAGATTCTTGAATAACTCCCTGAATTCTTCCTCTGGAAAATGAGCCATCTAATAATGAAATTGAAAATTCAACTCAAATAATTGAAGAGTTATCAAATCAAGAAAGATTTGTTATTGAAAACTTAATCAATGAATTATCATTTACCTCTCCATTAGAAGCAGAAGAATATATTACAATTGATAATGAAAGAATAAGTAGTAGTAGTGAAATGATAACTGATGAAGAAATTATTGCTTTTTTCAAGCCAATTGAAGAGGAAGTTGCCATTAAAAGTAATACAGCATCTAATGTTTCAATAAAAGATGCTGTAAATGCCCTTGAGGCTGTTTACAATTTTCTATAACAAGGTGATATAGAAATAGACTATATTGAATCTAAATCTTTTAAATCATTAAAAAGAAAAATAACATTATTAAAAACAAAGTAGCATTACAACATATTTCTAATAAATAATTATTATATATTTTCTAATTATATTTTATTTTATTTGTATAATTTATTAATATTAAAATACAATTTGAATAAACATTATCATTTATTATTATCATTATTATTATTATTACATATTATCTAGGGGTATGGGGGACAACTCAATGTAACACATATCAGTCGCAGGACATTGCGGATCTACAGGGGGTCAAGTGTCACTCACTAATAAAAATTTTTTGATCAACACG